AACCATACCTACTCTCCTGGAATAGATGTTATTGCTCCTGCCCTTAGCTTTGCTAACCTGACAGCTTGGGAAGTCACCAAGACCTGCTCACCATTTTTCCACTACCCCAGCAAGAGCCCTCTGCCTTAACCTTGCCTCTGCCATCTGCAGCTCTCTGGCAGCACTCCACTTTCTGCCTGTGTGGACCTCTATACCAGCTGCTGCTACTTTAGGATCCCTGGAATGTAAATTATGTATTACATGGCTTCTCTTGTGCGTGTTACCAATCCTGTGCCATCCTGACGTCAAAGACCCAGAAGTAAATCTGCTAATGTATTCTTTACATTTCACATCATCAACTTTGATCAAAACAGCATTGAAAAGAATACTACTGTCCACAAACTGGCACTTCATTTTACAGAATCATAGGTTTTGTTTTTCTTAAAGCTATAGTTACAAAGATGTTGCCTTGAACTGAAACAAAAGTAATAAACTGAATAGCTGTTTTTCTTTACCTTTCCAGTAAAGTCACCACTTCTCCTTGCATTTGCATTAGTCCACTTTACATAATAATATATGATGCAATATTTCTCCTATTGACACATCATCCTGTACTTAAAATAGAGTATTTCATGTTGTAGTGTTAATACTTTTATAATAAAAGAACTCAATAATGTCCGACTGACACACAAGTCTTTATAATTACATTTAATAATGGTGCATAATACAAAACATCGCTTGCATTCCTCTGCTGAGCCACGAACTTCCCTTGAATTCAATGTTTCAAAATAAATATCAAGGCAGAGTTCAGAGGCCACCATCTTATGTCCGACTGTATATGCAGCAAAGGAATCAGAAAACAAATCTTTACAACAGAATATCTTTTGTTGAAGCATTTTTGCTTTGCATGCAAAAGCAGCCACGTAGATCAATGAGAATGATAATTAGCATATAACTGGCCCAGGTTCGCAGCAGGAGAAAACAGTAGAGGTAAAAGGTATACAATATTTGATATGGACCACCTACTTTTTAAGTAAATGTATAAAAACACTAACTCTTGGGAAATCCAATAAAGAGTATGAAAAGTATAAATAAAACTGTCTGTTTAATCAATTAAAATCTTTATACAAAATAAAGGCAGTGGCAAATATACTAGTGAAAAGAAATGGATATTGCTCAATGGTTTATGTAACTATTTTTATACATTTGTTTAAATAAAAAAAGATACAGTTTGAGTGCCCTAGTTGATGACATTCACATACCAAATAGTACCTTGTCCTCAGAGTTATGGCTTTAAAGATGTACAAGCCATAAACACTTCAGCTTCAGAATAGCCAGGCCAGAAATGCAGTTAATATTGAGATACTGATTTCAGTAAAGTGAAATTCATTTATCATATTTATAGCACTTTGCAATGGCAGTGTCATGCACAGCAATATCAATCCAAAAACAATTCATACATGTTCATTAAAGATATAAAACCCAAAACTGGAAAGGGATTTCATTGCCCCTTGTTGTGGTGAGAATTTGTTTGTTTCATATAGAAGATTATACTGTTCATTGGTTTGACTTTGGTGTGTCATGGTGGAACAGTGCTTAGCACTGTCACCTCACAGCAAGAAGGTTCTGGGTTCTCTTTGGGTACTCTAACTTCCTCCTGGAGCTCAAAGACATGCAGCTTAGGTTGATTGGTGACTTTAAATTACTTGTGTGAGTGTATGTGGTTGTTTGTCTACATGTCAGCCCCTGTAATAGACTGGTGACCTGTCGAGGGTATACTCCACCTCTTGCCCAGTGACAGCTGAGCCAGACCCCTGTGACCCTCTTCAGGATAAGTGGTATAGATAATGGATGGTTCAACTTTGCGTTTCAGTAGGCGACACCCAAACGCAAAACTTTTAAGGGTACATTCCTTTTAAAATAAGGTTTGAATTTTAGAAACTGAGGCATTTTGTTGTGACAACACATTTTAGAGCTACAGTGGAATTAAGATTCCAGAATAAGGCTTTAATCTTTAAAGCTCAATAAAAACTGCCTATTTCTGGCAAGGCTAGTCGAAGTAGGACTGCAGGGTACCACGGCGGCGGACATCGGTCGTCCAGCAGTGGAAGCCACCACCCAGGGAGTTGGCATGGCGAATGTTCACCTTTATGGGCATAATACCTACAAAACACATTCATGTATTATTATTATTATACAACCTAGAGACCTTATTTTCTGAAAATAGCCCTTATAACAGTTTTTTTCTCATAGTTGAATTGGAAGATCAAAATGTCTGAAATGATTCTTATAGGATTTAAAATAATGAAAAAATAAGCCGATAAGCTGGACTAACTTTAACATATGAACTCACCGAGGCTCTCAAACATTTTTTGAATGGTGGTTTCATTGGCCTCAACCATGACACGCTTCTCATCCAGCATCAAGACATTCATGGACAGCCATTTGGAGGACATCCACAGTGGGTGGTCTGCACAGAAAACAAGACAATGCCTTTTATCAGTAAGACTTTCAAATGTTCAGCTAATGTAGAGGACATATTTTAATCTAAGTACCCACCATCAGGCATCAGAGGCATTGGAGGTTTCACAACAGTCCAACCAGCCTTCTTAAACATGTCAATCTGAGGTAAAGAACAGTAAGCAGCGGTGAACATGGGGGCACTTTGTGGTATTTATCAAAGTAAGATGATTTATCAGTCCACAAGAGGATAGCGAAGGACACTGTGAGAAATAAAAGGTAGCCTTTCCTGTCCTACGGTACCTGGCGACATGGCCGATCGGGGTTTGACAGCACCAGTCCTGGCCCAATAATATTGAAAGTAGCATCAATATGCATGGGGTTAGGGTCTTTGAATGAGATTATATGGATCTTGTAGTCTGGGGCCAGATGACGACGCATCCACTCAATTCCCATGTAATTTGTAACCTGCAGAAAAATGACAGTAGAAGAGGTTTGAGGGAGCTGCTGCATATTTGCCAGAGCTACCTTGAAAAAGAGATTGTAAACTTTTTTACTTGATCCAACCTTTCATTCTGCACTTGGACATTTAAACAATAGACTACTGTTTAAGAATATACATTTGTCTTTGTAACACTGTGAGAAAAGTCAGCAGCCACATCAAATACATGTTCATACCTGGCTCCTCTGGACAAACAGGTCCCTCCCAGCTCGAATAAAATCAGCAGCATCAAAACAGGGCTCGTGTTCTGTGGTCACAAACTTCCCCTGGGCAGCCAGTTTGTGTCTGTCCTCCACGGTGCGGATGGGGTAGTCCTGAATGACACCACACAATAATGATATACTGTAAACTCTAGCAACTGAGCAGTAATGTATAGTCTTTTGTCTTTCAGTTTCTTGACACATACTGTTGGAATGGATACTGGTGCAATAGACAGCATAGGATAAAGAGTTGAGTTGGTGTAATAGACAGCATAGGATAAAGAGTTGAGTAGCATGAAGAACATCTCACAAGAAAAGGTCTCACCTGATCATACAACTCATCAGCCATAGTGGGTTTGGGAGCAGTGGTCCATTTAGCACCTTTTCTGAAGTACTCCTTTATCAAAGGTCTATAGGCGCGGTACTCAAAGAAACGTGCCCTCCAGGCCATGGGTGCTTCTATAATCTCATTTCCCACCACTAAAAGGATGTCTCTGGGCATGGCAGCATACAAGCCTACAACAGATTATATAACACATTGTGATGCACTAATATATAAATATGAGACCAGCGATAGAAGAAGTGTTCAGACCACTGACTTACTGTAAGTAAAGTTAGCATTATGATTCAGGAATATTCGCTTCTGCTTTGCTTTTGTTCATCTTTGTTTGCTTGCTTGTTTGAGTTTTACCTGTTGAAGTGAAATCTGGGGTTTTGTACTCTTGGGACCAGTCGATGGGTTCTGGCCTCCTCACAATGACACCCTCATGATGCAGAATATTACACATTTCTTCAATCTCAGCAACTGCTTTTTTTAAGTGGTCCGCAGGAAACAACTGTCCCCCAAACTTCTCATAGAAGGGCCAGTACTTCTCATAAGTGTTAGCCTGTTGAGAGGTTTATAATATGACAGCATGTGTAGAAGGTCCCTGATTTAATGGATCTGGCATGTTTTAAAGAAGTCATCTTGTCATTATAGCTTACTTTTACTTCCACAGTGAATGGAGGGACATGGGCATTTTCAGCACGACCCACAATCACCTCCTCCAGAGGGTCCCATTCATTGTAGCTGCATACAGGACTTTCCTGATGGATGGGCTCAGTGATATGTTCCTCTTCAACTGCACACTTTGGCTGTGCAGCTGCTGCACTCGAAGAGCTCTGGAAAGCCTTCTGCACCCATCCAGTGACCGCCCGGCTGACCTGTGTGCAACAAAAATGGATAACACACACACAAAAAAAAAACAATATATGCATCTCAGAAATGTTCTTCATTTACAGATGCAGAGAAAGGGTATAGAAAAAACCCAGTGCAATTATTTAGATGGAACAGACATTTTCAGATGAAATATACACTGTATACATGTTAATATTATCTGTGGATTAGTTGTAAAAAAAATATGTTACCAATTACCATGGCTGTAGGCCCAATTTTTGATTTTATTTTATTGCCAGAAATGAAGTGAAATTAAACATGATAGTCAAACAACTTGGCTGCCAGCTCACCGATAACAAGACTTATTCAAGTACAGTAAAAACGATAAGCTGATCAAATAAACGCAGTGACCTTAAATCTCGATGAGAAATGCCTTAAGTGAGGTAGATTGGCTTGCTTTCAAAGCACACGTGTTATTTCCAAAGATAAGATATACAGTTTAGGCTTCTGCTAGTCCAGGAGCAGTTCCAGTGTCACTGAGTTCGGGAGCGCATCTGCGCCAAACAGCTGTTCATTGTCAGTCAGGAACAACAGCGGGAGAAACTCTCCACAAAGAGAAAGAAATCAGTTCTTGGAATTAGGTTTCTTCCATATAATAAGTGTTTCAAAATGTGTTTTTTTGTTTGTTTGTTTTTTTTTAATTATTATTGTTATGATTTTTTTTCTCAAAGAACCGATTAGAATGGACTTTCCCCCATTAATTGAAATGCTTAACCAGGAAAGACAAAAACAAGAACAGAACAAATCAGATCTCCGGTGCGAGAAGCAGCTCAGATGTAGCCTAAATGTCGGACATATTTTTATTCACACTGAAGAAAGAAAACAGACATGAAACCACCACAATACCAACCATGGCTCCGATCAGATGGGCAGCCTCGGCCCCCCTGCTACCTCCTCTCAGACACCTTACTCGCAGCATTCTCCGATGTAATAGTGAGCGTGTCAGTGAAACAAAACGGCAGCGCGGATCCACCTCCCAGTTTGCTCATGAATGAAGACATCTCACCTCACAGCCAACTTTATAAGAGTGTGTCTACGTGCCATTGGTCGCTTGCAAATTGTGGGGTGACGTGACGTGGGGGGGAAACGCGCTCCTGAAAGCCTATCCCTTACGCCAGCAAATTCTTATCGACTCTACTGATACTGTAGCTCGGAATGTTTCCATGAAGATCATCTGAAAATGTCTCTATTATTTTCATTGTATACAATATTTTATTCAATCAAAAAAGCTACTTGGTAAATGCAATTTCGTTATTTTTGGTATAAAATAAGTACCTGTGTTTGCTACTGTATATAAAAGGCTGCATAAACGAAACCTTTTGGTGATTTCATTTATATATGGTGTCATTCAAAACCAGGATTAAATCTAACATTTTCTCTAGTCCTCGCTGTATTAACATGCTATCTCCTGTGCCGATCATACAAAAGACAGCTGGTAACATTTATTTAAAAAGAAGCAGATTTAATAAATTAACTTAACTACTGTATAGTAGTAATGTCTGAATTTGCATACAATTGGTGCGGTAAGACCTTAATACAGTCCACACTGTTAGTGTTAGCAAAAGCACCATGGAAACCAGAGCAAAGGGTAAAACAGGATAAAAGAGAGATAGCTTTGTGCAAGCAACCACATGCTTCATTGGACTGTGTTCAGAGGTGTTACATAACCCTGAGACCACTGAAGGCTGATATTACCCCATCATCTAAAATAATCTCTGGTTGATGCCCAACGTTCAAAGGATGAGCACCGATGATGCCTTCAGCTGCTAGTCGCATCCTTTGCTAGTCTAAAAGTCACAAGGAGAATTTTGTGAACCAACTAATGGTTTATTGATAGCTGCATTAATTAGTCCATAGTCGCTATGGGGCAGACACACACCCAGCCAAGGTGATAGGGCAAATCAGCAGGTTACAGTGCATCTTTCTATACATCAAATGCAACATGTTAGGCATTTTTAGTGAGCTTTAAAGGTGTTTCTCATCTTACTATTGTGCTTAAATAGTGCATGTTAAAGCAAAGTTTTGTGCTTAAATAGTGCATGTTAAAGCAAAAGCAAAGTTGCAAAAACCAAAATGTTGAGCTAAATGAGCTGCAGAGTTTTGTTAGTTCTCCACCGTGTCTCCAGAGATCAATCTGTATAGTTGCCTAATATAATGTGAAAATAAAACTGCTGTTTAATGTAAGTTTAACTGATTACAAAGGTGAAAGTTTACTAGTTTCTAGTGAAGTCTTTTTGTGTCTCTTTTACAAATGTAGCCACCACTGTGTACACCTACAGAAATTGTGACAAAAGAAGATTAGATTGTGGGATTGCTGATTGTGTGGCAGAGAACTGACCCTTCATCCTCTGAGAGAACTGGAAAACAAAGCAGACTTTAGCATCATTCTGACTCTCTTCACTGACTCTCCCACATTTGTTATCTCAGTGAACTTAAATCTATAGTCTGTAACTTTCTTCAAATACATTTACTGTAGAAATCTGCTCCAAAACTTATCTTAATGTGGAGGGGTGCTGTCAAAGCTTCCTGTGAGCCAGACTCACTGAACTACAACTAATGTGGACACTTTAAGATATTTCTTAGAGAAAATCATGTGTTTGTTAAAAATGCTCAAAATGTATAATTGTGCAAAAGTAAGTGCTTTCTATAGACAAGTTGTTCTAATAAATAAGCTACTGAAACTGATACATTGGCAGCAATACAGAAAGTGCATTGTTAAATCATTGCAATTTCTTGCTCTGTCAAACGGAAAATAATCTTCAGTATCCTTTGTGCCATAAACTCATGCAGTAGCTATAAATAAGCTTAACTTTTGAGTGAAGAGACTAGTACAGCTGATGTGTCGAGAGATGGAAAGGAACCTGACTAATCATCCTGAATGGACCCCGCCAGATTGATTTAATGCGGTCATATGAAGTGAAAGGTACTTGAGCTAAGACTTAAATGTGATGAAGTACAAAAATATTTACCATATGAATTTAAAGTTCAAACTTCTGTGAATGTCTTCTGATTGATTTTTGTTTGAAATGCATTCATTGCCCATATCTCTGCATCTGAACGTCAATCTGAATCTCATGATTTTACTCTGTGTCCTTCTTTCAAGCCAATGATTTTTTAATGCAATCTACAAGTCACAGAGGGACACTGCTGGATAGTTGAGATGAGGTTGGGCATCAATGTCTTGCTCATGACCAAACACTGCAACACAGCTGGACTCGAGAGCTTCTCTGACAAAGCGGACGAGGCATCAGACACGGCCCTGCCTCAATCACTCAGATCATACATCACATTCAAAAGCCCAGCAGTTTATATGTACCCCTCTGGAAATATAGGTATTGGAGTGGCTGTGTATTTCTCTAGTTTCACATGATAATTTGTACCTACAACAATAAGGCAGAGGCCTCCCTTAGTTTTTTTGTGCTGTTTGCGTCTTGTGTTTCAGGTTTTCCTAAGGCAGCGGTGGACAATCACAACAGCCTTTTAATCATTCTGGCTGTTTTATATTCAGTGTCACAACTACCCAATGTGACCAGTGATGACATGTTTAGCCGCATGTTGTCATTCAACTGCTGGTTGTCTAGGTGGTGCCCAAAAAATAACGTGGGCTTCATAGACAACTGGAAAACATTTTGGGGAAAACCTGGTCTGATTAGTAGAGATGGCATCCATCCCACTTTGGGTGGTGCGGCTCTCTTATCTAGAAATCTGGACGAGTTTGTTTTACAACCTAAATTATGACAACCCAGAGTTGAGTCCAGGATGCAGGGTCGCAGTCTTACACGCCTCTCTGCTGTCTCCTTGCAGCTGCTACCCACCCAACGCTCCCAGTACCC